CCTTTAGGGACAAATGCAAGGCACCTTGTTATCCATGTTAAAGCATTCCTGAGCCTAATGCACCAAGTGTAGGCATCATGATCATGATACAGGTAATCGCTCCACTCTTACCCTAATTGGCTCAATAAACTATTGCTTCGTTGCAACCGCAGCATATGTCTCAACCACCATTGGCACTTATGCTCCCCAGGGTCCCTCAATTGATCTAACATTGATAGCTCAGGACCGTCCTCACCCTGTTGAATTGCTAACATAGGGGGTGCCCCACTCCCCACCTGTAGAGTTTAGTGTGCTGCCTCACTAAGGCCTAAACCTACTAGAATCATAGATCCAATTGGTAGATTTAATTGACAACTCTCTGAGGGCCTAACTGCTACAGAGAGACCAACACCCGGATGAGATGTAGAAGGAGTTCCGACAGTCCAAACAAGAAGGTGTAGACGACCCCACCTCGGGATACTCCCCACCTCAAGCATCCAAGAGGAACCGATCCCAACAAACTTTTGTCTCCCATCACTGTAGGCCTTCAATGATAACTTTGATGTCAGTAGAACACATCGTCACTTTTTGCACTCAATTGTCATTATACAATACCTTGGATGCTCTGTTGTGCTATGCATTTCAAACAACGTTGAGAGGCTTAGTGTGGGAGTGGTACAGTTGCCTAAAGCTACTCTTAGTCTATTCTTTCACTTAACTTACATAAGAATTCAAGCTCTACTTTCTTGAAAACATATGCTCGAGGCCGTCTATGACAAAGGGAGGATAAAATACCATCATGTAGGCTAAGACAAAGGAAGGATAAAATAGAGCGATGCGGTTAAGGTGTTCAACATATACCTTTTTGGATTCTTATTTTTTGTTGTTTTTGATGTTCTATTAAAAAGCATTTATGAGGTAAAAAAATACTATTATCAATCCCATTTTTTGTTTATGTTTTTAATTTTTGTTTCTGTCTTGTAAAATATAAAAAAGATTATGGTTGTGTGGCATTGCATGAATGGGAAAATAGTCCAAAATAACCTTATTCTCATGTATCACAAGTTAATTTTTTATTAACAGCCTTACGGTGTGAAACGCCAACTATCTTAATACTTTGGAACCCATTGGGTGGCACTAAGGTAAATGGGGCATTTGGTATATGTCTGATGGGTGATACAATGTCTTTAGTCCGTCAACTTTCTGTTTGACAAAAGTGCTATATTAGGCTTGCATCTGCCTTTACAATCCCCTTTATATACTCTCATTCAGCCATATATTTGAGGGTCTTTTGTGCCTAATAAAAGATGACTATTTTGTGTTATTTACCGTGTCAGAGATATATCTTATCCTTTTCGTATGCGACGATGACATATCATGCATACATTCATCTTTCTAACATTTTTGTTTTTCTATGCAGATCATTGGACCTACATGATGGTATAGGTTTTGTATTTCTTTTCCTTTTTATTTTTTTTAAGCACTCGATACGTAGGAGATAGTACAGTATTGATCGACGTATAGTACCAGTACGCAAATTATAGGTAATGACAACCTCTCATGTTCCGTACCTAATATCTTACGTTCCTCGGTCCTTTAATATTACAATAAGCTTTATAAAAAGATATACTTACAATATCATTTTAAATAGAACTTTTTTCTATTAATATATTATTATTGGTTATGATATATCTAATAGTTTACGTGAGACAAAATATTACAAGTTCATCTTCAATGGGAAATTTGGGGTTCATTCTTCCTCATTTATTTTTGTTTTCTGTATCTTTCAATTGTTAAATAAATGGAAAGTGATTGATCTCTGCATTGGGCCTCAAATTGCTGCATATCCTTCTTTCTATCAACCAAATTCATTTATTGTGGTGGCATAAAGATTAAGGCACGTCAGAATTTGGATAATGAAGAATAACAAAATTCATCTCATGACTCAATTACGTATCATTAATTAATAATAAATAATATTCAGTATTGTCTCAATAGGGCAAACATTTGAATCCAATAACCAAAAAAACAAAATATAATATTTTCTTATTTATTATAACTTTTTGGCATATAATGGCCATTTCCACATAAATGAAAAGCGATTGATGCTTCATTTCTGCATTCTTCGAATTCTACATTCTTTCTACTTTGCAAATTCATTGCCTGTGATTAAATATGACAATGATTCGTAATACCTCAATCAGCATTGTGTCAATTGGGCATTATGTAATTACATTCAATGACAAATACAAGTAAGACATAATAATATTTTCTTCCACCATAGAACATTTTACTGTTTGGTTAATCCTTAATTTCATGGGTTGATCGGCAGCGTTATAAAAATGGAGACGATGTAGCAACGATCTAACTCAGAATCGAATCAAGTAGATCTCGGTGCGGCAAGTGCTCGGAGACGATGGTGAGCACGCATGTGTTTCTTCTGGTATTTGTGATGGTACGTCCTCAACTAGTTTCTCTTCCTGTAAGCATAAAGATCTATAATTATGCTATGTCAATAATGCGGAAATAACCTATATGCCAGGATTGAAATCAATGCATAGATCTAATTATACGATGCGTACCTTTTGATGTCATATGTTCAGAGATCCCGTTGATCTGCTAAGCATCGTCTTTAATCCAAAATAGTTGCAAGCACCGTCTTTAATCCGACCGTCTTTAATCCAATCACACGCAATCTGAAGGGGGGAGAGAGTCGAGGAGAATAACTGAATCCCTTAACGGAGAGGTGCGTCTATACGTGTCAACGTTATGACGCTCTAACACACCGAGTAATCGTTCGGTAATGGACTTAGTCCGAACGAACCCAATTAGTTATTCTATTATATATCTTATTCAATTATAAAAGGGCCACATATTCTAACATTCTCCCACTTGGCCCATTAATTGATAACATATAAAAGATATACAAAATCAAAACAAACAAAATAAAATTTGTTTAAAAATAATTTTACCTAATTGGATTCCAAGAAATTTTGAAAAGCATTTTATACATGGCCATGATTTAAAAATAAGCCAATAAGTCCAATAAACATAATAATACTATATTAAGTCCAACTATCAATGCGAGTCATAGCGGTTGTATTTTATCAATGTCATACTCCCTTCTATGTACCACAACATTATTAGTCTTTCCTAACATAGTCCATAATGACCCCTGTAATTTGTCTTATCAAGACAATCTTGTTATTACATTCAACCATAATATGCATAAACATAAATGTAAACAGGATAGCAGAAACAGATAACTTTAATTAAGTAAAATGTCAATAATAGCATCTATATAAACATGCATCACCATATCCTTTATGACTTGCTTACAAGCCCCATTCTAAGAACATGTTCTTTGAATATTTTGCACTGTAAGGCTTTTGTCAATGGATCAGCAATCATCATAACGGTGCTCAAGTTCTCAATTGACACTTGCTGTTTCTGGACTCTTTCTCTAACCACCAAGTACTTTATCTAAATGTGCTTGGAACCACTAGAGTACTTGCCATTCTTAGAGAAGAAAACTGCTGCGGTGTTATCACAAAATATCTTCAGCGGCTTGACAATTGAGTCGACCACACTAAGTCCTGAGATAAAATTTCGCAGCCATAAAGCTTGATTTGTGGCCTCAAAGCATGCCACAAATTCAGCTTCCATTGTTGATGATGCAATAAGCGATTGCTATGCACTTTTCCAAGAAATTGCCCCACCAGCTAACATAAATACAAATCCTAAAGTGGACTTCCTACTGTCGAGGTAATTTGCAAAATCAGCATCTGAATATCTAGTTACTTCAAGCTGATCATATCTCCTGTATGTGAGCATATAATCTTTTGTCCCTTGTAGATATCTCATTACTTTCTTTGCAGCTTTCCAATGTTCCATTCTTGGGTTGCTTTGATATCTTCCCAGCATTGCAACTACAAAACTGATATCTGGTCTTGTACATGTTTGAGCATATAATAGACTTCCAACTGTGCATCCATAAGGAATATTTTTCATTAGATTCTTTTCTAAGTCATTTCTTGGGCACTGGTTTTGACTGAATTTTTCACCTTTAGTAATAGGTACATCATTGGTTGAGCAAAGCTGCATATTAAATCTCTCCAAGATACGATCAATATATCCTTTCTGAGACAATCCTAATAATCCTTGAGATCTATCTCTGAATATCTCGATGCCAATAACATAGGATACCTCATTCATATCAACCATCTTAAAGTTCTTGTTGAGAAATATCTTGATTTCGTGCAATAAACCAAGATCACTACTGGCAAGTAAAATATCATCCACATATAAGATCAATATAATAAACTTGCTCCCACTTACCTTCAGGTATATACACTGATCAACAGTGTTTTCCTTAAATCCCGCGTACGGGACGAGTTCTGTGATGCCCGCGTACGGGACGAGTTCTGTAATGTGCATGCCACTCGGCGTAGTCACATATTCGCAGCGAGGTCAACGGTGATAGCAATTCTTGGAAGATAAAGGTAATTTATGCATCGTAAATGAATTTACAGATCTAAATGCATTTGATTTCAAAAAACTTAGGCTCTGATACCAATTGTAAGCATAAAGATCTGTAATTATGCTATGCCAATAATACGGAAATAACCTATATGCTAGGATTGAAATCAATGCATAGATCTAATTATACGATGCGTACCTTTTGATGTCATATGTTCAGAGATCTCGTTGATCTACTAAGCACCGTCTTTAATCCAAAATAGCTGCAAGCACCGTCTTTAATCCGACCGTCTTTAATCATCCAATCGCACGCAATCTGAAGGAGTGCAAGAGAGTAGACCCTTTCTCCTCTCTTCCTATCCTTTCACAGGACCCACACACAGATTGATGGATTTGGGATATCTCCGAGGAATCGTTCCGTGGACTTAGTCTATTGGCTAAAATATCTTAACGGAACCCAATTAGTTATTCTATTATATATCTTATTCAATTATAAAAGGGTCACATATTCTAACACTTTCTTGTGTCATCGACATTGACAGGCTGCTCTGGCGGTGCTCGGTCTGTTGCTGCTAAGTCTAAGTGCTGCTGTTGGATACAAGACTTACAACGTTCTCGACTTTAAGGCCGTGGGTGATGGCCAAACCGATGATACTAATGTAAGCTAGCTCGCTCGCTCGCTCACTCTCTCTCTCTC